TCCCCTGGCACTACAAATGTTGTAACTCATAATATTTGTCCCCTAACCTCTTCCTTGAAGTGGCTGCATGTTCTAGCCTCAGACATTCTTGTCAGGAAAACTCTGTGAAGTGCTGGGGCAAGTGGAGGCGATGACACCATTGAATAGAGAAAAACCTAACCAAAACAAATTAAGAACCAAACCACAAATTAAATGATGAAATGGACAATGGAAGTAGTAGCAAGAGGGGGGAAAATAAAGCCGGGAATGAAGGGGGATTCTTGTGGGGCTGGAGAGGAGGAAAGGACTGTCATCGAGAACCTCCACAGTGATTTGAAAAAAGACATTTTGCTATTTTTATCCCAAGCAATTACTCAGGAACCATCTCCTGTTAAACCATATGTAAGACAAAGAAAGCCACCCAAAGCATTAACAATGAGAAGCAAAGATCTATTTGGTGGACAAAACCTCCCAGTGCTTGCAAGACAAGGCAGAAGCTTTTATTTAATGTTGTGGCTTGTTGAACACAGCTGATACGTTGCTGTGCTTACAATAAACAGCTTTTGGGGTTTTCCAATGCCTCAGCTTTGCTTCAGTGTGTTTAACCACCTGCAAAAGCTGTTTATTGCCTTGTATACTTCCCTCCTCATGACCATTATCCTTTAAGTATGAGGCTTTTGGCGAGACTAAGCAGGGCAGGCTGCAAGGCACCATCAAAGCTGTGTGCAGCACAGATGAAATAAATCCATGTGAGGACTACAGACCATGGAAGTAGAAAGATAAGATATAATAATGCAGTGCAATGATTTCACAAGCACTCTGCTGATTGTTTAAAATGCACCCTTGTTTACTGAGAGCCACTCTACAACCCCATCTGCAACTGCCAAAGGAAGATGTATGCATTCCAAGAAAATTATTAGGGATCGTGAGAGACAAAGACAGAAAGGCTCCTAAAGAGCATTTGTGTGTATTTTACTTCAAAAGGCATTAGCTAATGTGCTTTAAAACAGCTGCAAACATAAAAGAGCAGAACACTAAGGAAGTATTTAAATGAGAAAATGTGATATTACAGAGAGCACTTTCTTTGGCAACAGAGAAGCCCTACCTGCACTTGCAAGGAACCTTTTCTAAACAGATACAAAGACCATGTCAAGGCTTTATAGGATAAAAGAGTAGTTTTACTTCCTGCAGCAGGCAGAGATAGAAAGATGGGGCATTCAATGCAAATCTTCTTCTTTTCATTCTGGAATTGCTGCTCCAATTCCCTTCTTGTTTGCAGCCAGTTTCTGTCTGTTCTAATTGGGAGCTGGTTCTCCTGCTCCCTACAGCAACATCATTCTTTTTCATAGCATTTGATGTGCAGAACTCCCCTCTCTGTCTTCTCATGCAATTAAAAAATGATTGCAGTCAGCCTAACAGTAATATTTATAAAGTTTGTTGTAATAATTTGACATACTCAATATTTCATCCAGCACCAGCTGGTTTATTCTCCCATTACATCCACCAGATGCTGTAATATTGTTCATAATTTCTATGTGGAATGTTCAGTCAAAGGCTGCTGAATTTTCCCACACCAGCACAGCTCTCTGTCTCCAGCAATCACCTCCACAGAAGTATCAAACCTTCTGAAGGTAACAGATCGTATCTCCCAGAGGCAGGAAGAAAAGTTCAAGTTTTTCACTCCTCCCAGTAGTTCCTGGGGAGGATTCTGGCTGTGCCCTTGCCCAGGCTGAGTCCCACAGACCTTACAGTGTCCTTGCACTGCAGGTTGGCTTTCAGAAGGCTTTGTGCTGCTTTACCTCCCTGACTGACATTTATCACAACTGTCAGGAAATCGCAGACCAACAAGCAAATGCTGCAGGATCTTCTAAAGCAAGAAGGAAAACTCCGTATGGTGAGAGACGGTAAGATTTTTATCCAAGCAATGTAATATTTTTACTAATTTCTTAACTTCATTTTGCTTATGAGGATGAGTCCTCAGTGCTCCCTGAAAGATATTGAAAATCATCAGGGACTGAAAACTGAAAACTGGAAAGCAACTCTTTGAAATAAACATGAGGAAGGAGGAAGGATGGACAAGGCCTTTGGCTGGGATCTGTTAGCCCAGCTTCAATGACATCTTTAACCTTCTAATGGATCTTCTGCCTGATGTCCAGAAGAGCAGATCCTGTTGATGTTTCTGATTGCATCCAGGAGTGCATTTCCCAGGACAGCACACCCACCTGTGAAAGGACACCATGGTCTGCACAACTGCAGCTGAGAGACAGGAACACGACTGGAAAGGTGCTCCTGCCAAACTGAGATCACATCCCATGCTCACAGCGAGTACAGTGCTGCTCGTGGAGTCAATCATTCTCCAGCTCAGGATCTTCCAGGAAATTTCCCATGGCAGACAAGTGAGCTTGTTTTATGGCACCAGACAGGATTAAATGTCAAGCAGAGTAATGAAGAAGCTGCAGAAGTATATTCTTGTGCCTGTTCAGGACTCATTTCATGGGTGATCTGTGTCAGAGACAACCAGAAACCGAGAAGACACAAAAATGCCCATCTGAGAGCTCACATATTCCAAACTGATGCAATCTCATGGACAACTGAAGCAGTAAGGAAAGAAAGGTCCCGATACAGATTAAATTGTAGACCCTGAACTTGTTTTCCACTGTGCACAATCTACTAACAGCAAAGTCTGCAGTCTACCTCTGAAAAAAACCAGCACTTTTTTCCATGATGAGGGTGAATAAACAAGTTACTTCAACCTGCTGGTTCCACTGCAAGTTCACTTACTAACACATCTCAGAACATGCAGAGCTGTAGAAGCATTAGAAATAGTAAACAATTATTTAAGTAGCAGCACTATGTTTCATTTTTTATTCATTAAAGTTTTTGATGTTTGCGTCAGACTTTTGACTTTCCAAAGCTACTCTACATCAAAAATCATTATTAAGACCTCTAAAAGTTTATCACAAGTCAGTTTACAGATGACATTGATATTGCTATCCATTCCTCCTGGACCATTTCTAACATTTCATTTTTTATATTCCTGCAGTGCTGAAATATGGTTCATACCAGTATCTGTCCTTTTAGTAATCACCAAGCAAAGCTTGGCAGTTGTCATATATTGCACTCTTGAGAAAAATGCTAGTAATACTCTGAATTGATTGAACAGCATGGAATCAGAACTAACTGGCAGAGAAACCATTTAACTCATTTCAATCCATAAATCTCTTTTCTCCTACCATGTTTTAGTTTAGAAGCTGCTGAATGTAGCTATTATCTTGTGATGCATAGAATGAACCAATTATTTATATGGATATTAATTTAAATAATACATTATTGTATTCATTAATGCCCCACATGAGTAGGCAGATGTGTGGATCTTGCTGATTAACTTCCATTTATGCACACTGAGCTATAGAATAACAGTCCTTGGCCAGCAGACATCAATTCCTTTTATTTCCCCAGGGGTCAACATCAGGTATAATGTCCTGGCTTGCCTTAAAAATAAAGTGGTTTTAAACATAACTGTACCTGCTTTAGGTAACAATTTCAGTCCTTGAGTGTGACCTAAAATAACTCATAAGACATAAGGGCACTGGTGTGGCAAGGTTTAATTACTTGCCAGGGATGCACTTGCTGTCTAAAGCAAATGCTGCTGCTCAACATGTTTTTAGGAGAAAAAAGGAACAAAAGTATGGCCAAGAACTCTAGCTGAGTCTTAAAGAATTCTAGAAATGGGGCTTTTGAAATTAAGTCCACAGAGAACCAGGAGACCAAAGTCAGATGGGCTACAGAAAGACAGAGGAAGTGAACACAAATATACTACCTGCCAAGTCAAATCCTCAGTGAAGCCTTAACTATGAACAAAGAATTTTTATTAAGGCACCAAATTTCAATCTTTTTTCTCAGAGGAGAATTTTGATTTAACCATTTTGGAAGTCTCTCTAAGACAAATCACATCAAGAACAAATCCTGTTCTTGTAACATGATAGAAGGTCATCAGCAGAAGTATTTGCAAGCATGGTAAGAACCTCATCATTGATACAGCATCTTCCAGTCCATCAGTGCCTCTGAATTTTATCAATAATCAGACATTCGCTTCACTCTGATAGAAAAACCCAGCTGAATTTTTAGAACTGCTGAAGACATTGAATATTCTGAACCTCCTGCATTTGACTCACTGACAATTTCTACATTCTTGAATTTCATGTTTTGTCATTCCGTAACTTAGAAATAACATGAAATGTGTAAGCCTTTATGTATACAGCAGAACCATCAAAACTCCGAGTTTTGGTGTTTTTAGCTTTTTTTTTTTTTTTTAATCAAAACGAAAAACTTCCATGCATTTCCATTTAAAAAGCAAAATGTAAATATTGCCCTGAAATTTGGGGCAGAGTTTGAAGCATTGCTCTCCTCCAGTGATACCAACACCACCATTTCAGCATTTCTGTGATAAAGCCCACATCAATTCCAGTGGATTTGCACATGTGTCACCAGAACCTCCATGGGAAGTACAGAGCAAATTGCTAGAATATCACGCTGTTTCCAGTGGACATCTCATTTGTCATGACAAGGGAAGATAAATAATTTTCAAATAACCTCTTGTTGGAGTCTCTGCTTGCTCTGATATTGTAATTCACAGTGCCTTTTCACCTGCATTGGTTTGGGTAAGAAACAACTGCCTGCATGGAACAAGCAATAAATACTTTAAAACACCCTTTTAGGCATCCCAGCATAAGAAAAGCAACACAAAACCATTATGAATTAATGACTATCGCCAAGAGTGCTAAAAGGTTCAAGATGCTTTATGTATAAAATAATTTCAGAATTGAAATATCAATCCTTCAGCTGGATAAACAGAATTTATTAGTTCAGTGATTTAAGGACTATCTTTAAAACACACTACATTGTTATTCTGCCTTGGAGCTGACAGATAAAAGTAAATGCCTTAGAAAAATAAAATATAGAATTTTTTTTTTAATCTACTAACTCAATTTATTTTATATACCAAAACAGAGACCACCTACCTTTCTTCCCCCTGTGTTTAGGCGAAGAGGAGTTAGGAAGGGATCAAAAATCATATGGCTGGTTTCAATATTGACAGGTGACTGTCTTTTCCCAACAGAGCAAAGATTCCAAGCTGAGTTCACCAAACCCCAAAAGGAGGGCACTGCAAAATATAAGAAAGTGCAAGTTTAATGCAAGTCTGCAAAGACTGGAGCAGTACCTGCCAGGCAGACGGCCAGGTAATTAAACTTGTCTGATTGTCTGCACAGGTAATTAAACTTGTCTGATTGTCTGCACACGCCCGTGGAGATTGAGGTGGCTCCCATGACCATCAAGGGAGACAGACCTAACCTCATTCTCCTGGTGCTCTGTCCACAGCCACCCTTCTATTTGGCCAAGGGCAAATAATTGCCCAGGCCATTCCCATTCCAGTGGAAATCCCAGCAGACGACAAAGCACCTGCTGTTTACTGGGCAGAAGTGGTTATCAAGGACAAACCTATTATGGGATGCACCTTAATGCCTTATTTAAATTGCTACCAGAATTAAGGTGTTCTGGGTTGTTTTGAGGGGACAGAAGTCAGAAAACTTCAAATACAGGAAATAAATAGGGTGGCGGGAATTAAGGGAGCATTTTCAAAAAATGCTGTCTAAATATGAAAAATGGAAAAGGTGATAAACTCTGCCCAGTTAAATAAAAAATAAAATAAGACATGGCAGAAGAAGATATCAAAGTACAATTTCCGAGGGCCTTAAAAACCATCAATAACTTTATTAAGAGTATGAGAAGCAAGGACACTGGCTGACTGTGTTGGATGAGCTGGTGATCAGGTTGTAAGAGCAGTACAGGAAACATTATGTGTCAGTAAAGCTGTATGAGTTCTTTTCCTTACTGCTTACAAAATGGTGTAAAGAAATGTTCCCACAAAGGGGCTGTTTTATGAGGAATGTATCTGAGAAACTGTCTCAGAATCAAGCATCAGAAAAGTGACTATTAGTATAAACAGATAAAATGAACAAATTCATTCAGGTCAGACAGAACTCCAGGATGAATATCACAGTGATGTGAACAGCGAAAATCCTTGCTTAAAATCTGCACCAGGCTTGGAGAGACAAAAAGTTGTAAATGTGATCCAATTTTTATGGTGTTTATTTTTATAGATGCTTGTTTTTCCCAAGGTATCTGCTAGTGATCCCTGTCAATGACACGAGGTGGAGTCTAGGCAGGACAGTCAGGTTATTTCTGTTTTACTGCACCAAGCCTGTAAATTCCTCTTTGAAGGTTGCTCGACTTCTAAGAGCACAGATTCTCTGAATTTAAGTTTCTCCAGAGTTCATGAATTTAAATGAAAGGTGTCAACTTATCCATGTAGCACATCTTTGTTTATATTTTTAAGCCTTAGCACTGGCCCTGGCAATGGCGTAAAAGACCATTAAAGATTGTATTTGTGCAGTGATTATTCTTGCCCTGTGTAATTACTGGTACCTCAGATAAAATCTCAAGCTACTTTATTGAGGCTGGGAATTGGAACCATAGAGAGAATCAGTAATCTATGTACATCAATAAAGCAGTCCATTAATTATTTCCACCTACTCAGCTTGAAGAAAATTATCATACCAATTCCTCTGGATAACCACATGACCTGCTCTGCCACTACATAAAAGCCAAAGGTAAAGTCATAAAGGCTTTGAGAGATAAATCAGGGACACCAAAGAAATGACAGAGTATAGAATGGCATTCATCTCACTAATTGGTCACAGAAATCTCCAGACTGCAGTAATATTAGACAGTATCACAATGGCTTCAAATTTGAGAACTGAAAGTGCTCCGATTTCTTTTTAAGCAGCAAAGCATTGGCAGCTGAAATATATCCTCCAGAGTAAGACAGCATTGCCATTATTCAAGAGATAGTAAGACAATTAAAAATTTTCAGCAATAAATCTTGAAACATATAAAAAATTAGCATTTTTTAAGAACTCCAGCAGCATCATATTCTATTCCATACTCATAATTCCATACTGGTTTGTTCAAATGTCATCTTCCCTCTGTATGAAGGATTCTCAATTTCAAGAAAGTTCAACCACTGCACTCATTAAATGAGAGATAACAGAAAACAGGAAAAGGAAAATGAGGATTGGAATGATACTGTCTTTTAAAAAGTGGCTATTTTCTGCTACGACTTTAATAAAGACATGCAATACCCTCTCCAATTTACCTTTTGAATTATAGCTGCTTATTTATGCCTAATTAAACATTTTCTTAAATTAAGAGTTAAATTACCTGGGGAAAAGTATTTAGCAATCAAAATTAGTGACCTCTGGCCCTGCAAAGCTTTTGCTTATTTTTATCTACAAATTTGGGCTAGAAGTCTAGAACACAGTAGAACACTCCTTTCATTATAGTGATTAAACCAAACTAATTCACTTCTATAAATTATGCTAAGCTTGGAATAAAGAGTAGCTATACAACAGTATGTAATTACATTTTTCTCTGCCACCCTCTGGTGAGTTCACACATACTAAAGCTATACAATCAAACACTAATGCTTCTCAAAAATATAGGTCAGCTGCTACATACATATAAACAGCACACTGTTAATATGAAAATGCAGCAGTGCATGAACACCTTTGGTGCTGCAAGGTAACTGCTCCACCTCGAAGAACATCTCAGCAGCACCAAACATCCTCCAGCAGTGCAGGGGGACACTGCTCAGAGGGGCAAGGCCAGGATGCAGAATCCTAAAATCTCTTGGAAGCACAAAGAGAAGAATCTACTCTGCAATGTGTCACAGGAGGAACGTGGCTCTGGAACACTCCCGACAGCCCATTCCTGCCAGAGACTGGGACAGCTCAGATGGAATCAGCATCAATTGCTTCCAAGGGAGATGTGTAAAAGATAATGAATGTTGCCTTTTTGGCTGCCAAAATTCAATATAAGATAGTGCCTTGGAGGCTTAATTACTTGTGACCTTCACCCAGAAATACATCTTATTTTGTGGATACAGAATTTGATGGTTTTTCCAGCAGTAGAGGAATAAAATCACACCTGCCTTATGAAAAGACATTTAGGAAGAAAAGTGTTAAATGGTTACATCGAGATTGATTAGAAAATTTATAACTATGCACATAGAAAAGACTGCAAATGTTTCAAGAACTACCTTATGGACTCAAGGTTCTAAATCAACTCTGAAATTTATTATGACTATCAAATACACCAAGCAATAATAAAAAAAAAATTACCCAAAGGCAAAATCTGTAGCTTCATAACCACTGAAAATATAAATTTCAATTCACCTCTGTGTCACAGGCTAATATTTCTAAAAATCAATGCACAGAATAATCCTGGAAACTGAACTAACTGAGCTAGTTAGTTTCAGGTATCTGGCAATGTGATTTAGTTTTATTATTTATACATTTCTAGTAGAAGTAATATCCAGAAGGCTTAGTAAGTACAGATCAGCTCTATTTAGCATTCTTACTTCTGTTTAAACTTCTAACACAAAGCTACTGAAGTCAGTATCATAAATCCCATTAAAATTGCCATATACAAATTTATTACAGGTGTTTACTATTAAGAGGCTTTTTCAGTATGACCTGTCCAAAGAAAAGTGAACCTCAGACTTGCAAACAAAATTGTATTTTTCTGGTTTATTTAGCCACATTTCAGGACTGCCCCAGGCAGAGAGGAAATGGAATGGATTTTTGAGATTTTTGGGAAAAAGACAACTTTTTCTTTTAGAAAAGCTCTCCGTCTTGATCTGTGAGAATACATAAAATAACTTTTTCATCTGAGCTTCAAGAAAGGTATTTTAAGAAGTTCCTACCCTGCTTTTCAAACAGCTGTAGCAATGTTACTGAACTGGAGTGGTACACGTGGAAATAGAATCCCTCTTGGCCTGAAGTCATCTTAGCAGAAGAGCAGCAGGAATTTAGCAGCTATAAACTACATGTAGTGACTAAACTTGCTCCACTCTGCTTTTCTTCTTTAACAGAAGAGAATGAACACATTATGAGGAAAATGGAATGTATGTGTCTTAGAATAGCAGAAAGCTGAATGTGAATCACAAAACCTTAGCAAAACAAATACTCACATGGCTGGTATTAGCTGCATTATTTTCCTAAAGTCTGGACTGTACTACCCAAAGTTTCCTTGACTATTTAACTTTCGTGCAAGAGGAACAGGGCAAAGTCTGTGTCTCTCAGGCAGGCAATTGTCATTGGAGGCTTTGCCTCCATCAATAGTGATGCCTTTTCTTTGTTCTGCACTATTTGCTCTTGTCAGCTGAAGTAACAGATATATCTATTATGCTGCCAAAGGAAACCAGCAGAGCAATAGAATGACAATTCCTGGACCACTTACAACCAGCCTACTACAAGAGGAGTATCAATTTAGTTTCTGTAGCATTAACTGTGGCCAATTTAATAGGAAAAAGAAGGAAAAGAAATTGTAATTTCTAGTTCTTCTGTTTCTAATCCCTGAATCTGGGCATCTCTGATCATCCCCTTAGATGCTGATAAAATCCATGATTTTCATCTGCCTGCTCTTCACTGTGCACATCCTGAAAAATTAACCCCAACACTGGCTTGTCCTTTTAACACTAACATGCAAACCTGTTACTTCTTCACATTAAGATATATCTGCTCTTTTCAAAATACCTTCAAGCTGACTACTAATTCTCCAGTCCTTGACTTCACAGGCAGTATAAAATTTTAAATGGTAATTGAGTCATCTTTTGGTGGGCTGAAAGGGAGAGCAGAGTATGATGTTGCCAGCAGCGTGCTGTTTGCTCAGCAGTAAAGTTTATGGAGTACTGCTTTATTCAGACAAATCATTAGGTTCAGTACAGGTGGTAGCTGGATGACACAGAGTCATGATGGACAGAAAATCCATACCCATTATCTGGCACCATCTTCTCGCTGTGAGAGATGTGAATTTACAGCTGCCTTCGGAGCTCTGGCCGACAGGGCCATTCAGCACGGAGCCTGTGTGCAGGGCAGAAAGCTCACAAGCAGAAAAGGTTGTCAGAAAGACCTATTAATATTTTTTTTCCTTTTTTTACTATTAAAACAGCTGACTTTTTTTTTTTTTTTTTGACAATTACTAGCTGTTGGAACTCAAAATGTCCCTCAGACATTTTTGGATGTTCCAGGCCCAGGTCAGAAG